GCGGCGTTTTCGGTTCCTTCTCTTTACTCGATTTATCCATCTCGCTGCTAGCCATTACTTATAGCTTCCTGCAGGACTAACTCCGCTAAAATCACAACGAGATCTACTTATTCATAAACTTTACCACATTCAACAATTCTAGCTAATTGATTAGATGTTAAATATTTGGAACATTTCATCAAATTCTCTCCTACTGATCGTTGACCAATACAGTTCCTAAGCACCAGAACCTGATATATTGACAATCCGACAGCTAAAAAGGTATCTAGTCTGTTTCTCAGGAAGCAGAAAACATATCGAGCAGTATGTAACAATGTCGGAGCTGATAAATACGATAACACAAAATCCAGAAGTATTAACAGAAACCCTCGAAAGCCCTAAAGACAGCTCAATCGAATTTAGAACAGAAAACGCAACTTCTAGCCCCAAAGATACGAACTGGAGATGCGACGGAGATTACCTAAAGACCGTTAATGTTTGGGAAATTATGAGCGGAACTGGAGACACGGCATGAATCTAGTTTGCAGAGATTGAGAGAATCAATGTCTCGACAAAGAAAAATTTGGCTGATTGTGTTTTTCTGACGAGGAAGAGAAGGGGGCGTGGAGTTCACGAGGAATAATAATCGTTTCTTTGCCTAAAACCCCCTTCTTTTAAACTTATTTATCAACCTACCCAAATTGTTAAAATTTAGAGCTTTTTTTACCCCAATTGAAAATTTTCAATCAAGTCTTTTAAATCCAAATTTGATATCATCCGAACACTTACAAGTAACTTGATATAATGATATATATCAAATACCCCCAAATTATTTTACTGTTATGCCTGCTATTCAATTATATACAAATGCTTCGGAAACTGATAGATTTTTTTTTATTTTATAGTGGCATTGCCGGAAAAAACTTTATCATTGAAAGACAAAATAAAATGCAGTGTAGAGATCTCGGAATTTTAAAAAGTTACGGCACAAAAACGACCCTAAGACATCATCTTTTTTCTAGTTGATGGAAATTGTTTCTGCTTCCATGATCATAGGAACCAATCTCAACTGAAGAGAACAAGTGAACCAACACATTAAACTATCTCGACAACCCTAAAACGTTAGAGCTAAAACCGCCGATAATATCTCTTATTGAACGGTGATGTGGTTTGTTCTCTGAACTAATAAGCAAATGAAACTCCAAGTGTCAACAAGTGGATTTTGATCTATGTGACGATCATGCGGCAAAACACGCCAAACAAATTCCTCACGACTCGGATAACATCTGTCATATGATATTTTGGTGATATAAGCCTCAAGACGAAAAAAGATTAGGCCCCCATTCTAGATCTTATTTAAGTCTTTCTATATAAACAAAATAATTAAACTATAAGAATAAGAGAACCACGACCAGATGCATGCGGCCTCGAGAATGCAAATGCATAAGAAGGGAAACTACTGGATTTGGTGGAGATGTGTAAGAAAGGGAATTATGAATTTTCCACTTTCTCTGAAAATCAGAGTGAACAATTTCATCGAAAATCTTTTCTGTTTTAAAATAACATTTTTTAGTAGACCAATCACAATTGTTTTTTTTTTAAGAGACCAACTATACTAACTTTTTTTTTTAAACCATTTTTCTTTTTTTGAGAAATCGTTTTCATCAACATAATGACCATTCCATAAACTTTTTATTTTGCGGAAAATGTTTTTAACCCTACAACTATACTATTATTTTTAATATGCAAAAACGACATATAATAAAATCGTAAATGAATCTATTAGTATATGTGTTTTTCATTTTAATAAAATAATTTGTTTTGGTAAATATAAAATAAAGAAAATTAATGTAAAATTTTTTAACAAATATTATGATTTTCTGATAACATGTTTAATCATACACTTTTTATTTACGATTTTTTTGTTAGGGCTAATTTACCCAATATCCAAAAAAAAAAAAATAGATAATAAAAGTAACTAAAAACTCCAAATGTGTCACAATCCCAACCCTTAAATTTAGAGTTGTTGATAACTTTTTTTAATTATGATTTTTGGATTATTAGATAAATTAACCCTTTTTGTTATTGCTAAATTTAATTAAATTTTTGGCTATAAAGCCCTTAGATTTATACGCATAAAACTCGCGTGGAAAGATGCGGATTGTTTTGAAATTCAGTGAACCCTAGAGAGAGACTGAGTTCGCCGAGTGGAGCGACCATAGCGACGAAGTGTCGCCATTGATAAACCCTTTACCTGCGTCTGCCCAAAGATCACTGTTCTTGGATTTGAAGGTACGATTCTTTTGGAATTCTAGCAGAGGTTTTGATTTTGCGTAGTTGATGGTTGCGAGTTCTGGGTCTTCTTGATTCTTCTTTCGTAAAAACTCTTTTGGTTTTTGACAATTTTCACTCAAACAATTCAAAAAAAAAGATAAAACTTCTCCTCTACATATGTAGGTTATGTGTACTGTGTTCTAATTTTCTGGGTTTCATCAAGTTTGGAGCATTGAGCGAAAGTTCTCAGTTAGATAGAGTAAGTTAGGCTATTTCTTGCATTTATAGATGTTTGTGTGCTTAATTAGGCTTATACATACCTAATTCTGTCTTGAAAACCTTTGTCTAATTGACTAAAAGCTATTACTCAGAAGACAGTTATAGGTTATATCCCAATTAAGGCTTTGGATAGAGAATGTAGAATGTCTTTTTGATAGTTCTCTTGCTCGTTTCCGGATCTGTGTTGGTTCATAATGTTAGTTTCAGTTGCTTGTTGATTGGAAATGTTGGTTAATCTTATCTGCTCTTGAAATCAATGTAGGAAGCTGCAACGTGAGGGTGTAATTTTACCACTGAAACTAGCTACAGAGATGAATTCGTATCCATCACGAAACCCGTTGCTATCTGCTACCAAAGCAAGCAAGGACGCAGGCTTGCCTACGTCTAATGCTCATTGGTTCCATTCCTATTGCCCTGTTCCAAAGACCACAGGCATTGATCTTTCAAAAGACCCTCAAGCAGATCCTGATGAAAGCGTAATGGTGTCGCAAGATCTTTTGTTTCATCCTCCTACCAGAGAATCCAAAAATGATATGAAAACTGTGAAACAGAAATCCACGAATCAGTCTCCTTCGAAAGCTCTGAAGCCAAAACCGCCAAGGAAGAAACGCTCTGCATCCAGTAAGTCAAAGCAAACACCAAGCATTCCCGAAACAAAGCGCGAGAAAAAGAATCCTGACATCAACATCGACATCTCAAGCTTTGATGTTTCCGGGGTTCCACCTCCGGTCTGTTCATGTACAGGCGTTCCAAAGGTTTGCTACAAATGGGGCATGGGCGGTTGGCAATCCTCGTGCTGTACCATTGACATATCGACATACCCTCTTCCCATGAGCACCACAAGACCCAAAGCTCGTCTTGCTGGAAGAAAAATGAGCAATGGTGCTTATGTCAAGCTCCTTATGAGGCTCGCTGGCGAAGGCAATGACCTTTCTCACCCTGTTGACCTTAAGAACCACTGGGCCAGGCATGGGACTAACAAGTTTGTGACCATTAAGTAGACGCTTCATGAATCATGAGTTAGGTTTGGTTTTAGGTTTTAGCTCTAATTGTTTCTTTTGTATCTTCTTTTTACAGTCTTGTATATATGTTTCGTAGTGGCTTTAAAAGCATAAAGGAGATCAGTGTCTACGATAAAGAGGTTCTTGGTACTGCAACAATAGGAGGTTGATTCCGGTCTTGATTTTTTGTTTCCTGTGTCGTAAAGTAGGAGACTTTGTGGATCAATTAAGGATCTTTCAATTCTTTGCTGGTTACATATTTCTTTTCTCTATGCGAATCAGAAACACTAAGGCTACTCTCTTGGCAATTGGAAGACTAATAAGAAAAGGTCTTTATTTTCCTGGCAATAATCTGCTCGTACTGATCTTCAACCCGACAATAATGGTCTAGAATATACATGTGCCATTGTACTCTGAGCATCTGTTGTGCGACTTTGATAAGAACAGAAGTTGGATTGTTCATTTGTTCCCTTAGATATATCAAAAGGAAGAAACCACTGAGATTGATGCGAACTATGTTCTAAAGCCAAGTCAACCAAGCCTTTCTTTATTTTATTTTCTTTCTATTATGCAAATAATAGATCACTCCTCTGTTTCCTAGCACACAATAGTCTCTCATTTACCACGACTACGAACTAAACGAC